ATCACTTGACTTCTCAACCACTGAACCTTGTGCATGTCTTCAATAGCATATTCAGAGCTCCATGAATAGAGTACTGGAATTGACTTATTGATGTATCACAATTCCAAGTACATCTCGTGACATGCACACTTCCACCTCTCCTCAGCTCTTTGACCTCCGTTATCATGACAACGTTTTACAGGAATGTCCACAAGAGTTGGCATGACAAGCATGCTATTTTCCACTCTCTTTAAACCGAAGTATAGGGTGCTGATCTTCTATTCATTCTTAGGATTTCCATGGTCTGTTCTTGCTCCAGTCCCTGTCTTAGATCAGCACAACTCACAGAGAAAGCTAGATCTCACAAATCCCAAAGGATTTTCTCAGATTCACGAATCTGTTAAAATCCAATGGTTTAGTAAACAAATCCGCCAGTTGAAATTCTGTACTCACATGATCAACCACAATCAGTTTCGCCTCAACAAGTTCACGAATAAAATGATGCCTAATATCAGTATGCTTAGTACGTGAATGTTGAACAGGATTCTTAGCTATGTTGATTGCACTTTGGTTATCACAATGAATTAAAAGAATATCAGAATCCATACCAGAGTCAGCAACCATTTGTTTCATCCACATGAGTTGAGTGCAGCAGCTTCCTAGAGCAATGTACTCGGCTTCTGCTGTTGACAGAGAAACACTGTTTTGTTTCTTGCTGTGCCATGAAATCAGGTTGTTGCCCATGAAGAAACATCCACCACTTGTGCTTCTACGATCGTCCAATGAACCGGCCCAATCAGCATCACAGTAGCCTGTCAAGCTCTTGGTTGTATCCTTGGTGTAGAATATCCCAAGATTTACAGTTCCCTTGATATACTTGATGATCTTCTTAACAGCCAACAAATGGGACTTCTTTGGTTTGGCTTGATACCGAGCACAGATTCAAACAGATAAACAGATGTCTGGTCTGCTGGCAGTTAAGTACAACAGACTCCCGATCATTCCTCTGTAAACTCGTTCATCAACTTCCTCTCCTGCTTCATCCTTTGAGAGCTTGTCAGTCACACTCATTGGAACCTTCGCCTCTTTACTCTTAGCGAGACCAGAACGTTCAACTAGATTCTTGGCATAGGTGCTTTGTGAAACAAATATTCCATCAGCTGATTGTTTCACTTGCAGCCCCAAGAAATAGTTTAACTCCCCACACATGCTCATTTCAAATTCTTGAGTCATGTTCTTCAGAAACTGTTCAACTAGCGGCTGACATGTGGATCCAAAGACAATGTCATCAACATATATCTGAACAAACATCACACCATTGTTATCTTGAAACACAAACAGCGTTTTGTCTATATTCCCACGCACGTATCCTTGTTTGATCAGAAATGTTGTCAGACGCTCATACCAAGCTCCTGGAGCTTGCTTGTACACATGATCAGGACGCTGAGGATTCTCAAATCCTTTAGGTTGCTCTAAATACACTTCTTCTTGAAGAATTCCATTTGAAAAGGCACTCTTAACATCCATCTGATGCAATGTGAAATTCAGAGCACATGCCATGCCGAACAGAAACCTGATGGACTCCAGTCTTGCTACAGGAGCAAAGGTCTCGTCAAAATCATTGCCTTCTATCTGAGAGTATCCTTGAGCAACCAACCGAACCTTATTGCGAACAATACATCCATGCGCATCACTCTTGTTTTTGACGATCCACTTAGTACCCACAACATTGACATCAGCTGGTCGTTGTTTGAGCTCCCAGACCTCACTTCGTTCAAACTGCTCTAGTTCATCTTGCATAGCAGCAATCCAATATTCATCAACAAGAGCATCTCTGTGATTCTTGGGCTCCAGGGTTGACACAAAGCAAGCAAACTGCACAACCGCCGCCATCTGTGGAACTTCAGCAGCAGCATTCTTCTGCTTCTGGCCAGCGAGTTGCTTGAAGTCGATCTTCTTTCCTCTAGTAACTCTGCCCCCCTGAATCGTACCTATAATATCATTAGAGGTGTGATTCTTATGCACCTGAGGAGTAGGTAGAGGCTCAGCAGTGTCTTCATCGGTGTCGGAGCCATCATCAACTTCCTGCTCTGGACTTGGTTCATACCCCACAACTCCTTCATTGTAATCCTTAGGAGCATTAGTTACTGAGGACACATCTTCATATACACGAAAAGACGCATCATCGAACACCACATTAACAGTCTCTTGATGTGCAAGCCTTAGCATCGTACGAACATTCAGATGTCCTAACTTCTTATGCCACATCTCAGTTTGAAAGTCAACAGCTGCTTGAAAACAACGATTACCTGAACTCCACATGTAACAATTGTTACCAGACCGCAGTCCCTCAAGTTGAACACGTCCTAGACGATCCACAGCCTTGCAGTTGGCCTTGGTAAATGTTACATCCAGACCCTCATCACACAATTGACTGATGCTAATCAGATTGGCCTTCAGTCCATCAACCAGAAACACATTATGTAAGCTTGGTTGAGATTCACCAACTGTAGTACCTTTTCCTCTGATTTTTCCTTTTGCATCATCTCCAAAAGTAACTCTGCCTGCTGAAACCTGTTCAAACTCTGACAGATTGTCTTGAGCTCCAGTCATGTGTCTTGAACATCCACTGTCAAAATACCACTTCTCCTGAGTTGACTCCTGTTCATCAGCAGTGTAAGCAACATTGCAGTACAGATCTTCCTTTATGATGTAAACTCTGTTCGTATTCTTAGAATCCCTGTGATACCGCTGATGCTGCATCATTGCAGACACACGATTCAAAAATCCATAGCATTGTGCCTTGTAGTGATTCAGATTACCACAATACCAACAACCTGTTCTCCAGCTACGGTGAAGACGAACCACAGAACCGTAAGCTGACTGAACATGTTCACGAGGAGCCATTCTAGATTTACGACCGTGAGCTGATTGTTCTTGATTAGATGAGGACACAACACGTCTCTGATTCTTCGGAGAAACAGACTTCCTTTGAGTAGCTTCTGCTGACTGCGGAGCTGCCTTAACAAACTTAGTTGTACCATTAAAGTTTCCACCTTGATACCCTAAACCCCAGTTGACATTAGCCGTTCGTCCCATAGTTAGGAGTTTGTCCAGAGCTTTAGTCCCTTTGCTCAGCATCTTGATGTTTCTGAGTTGATCCTCCAACTGCCTCTCAAGACCCTGCGACTTGACTTTCTCAGCTTCAAGATCCTTGGATATCATAGAAACTTTCAATTGAAGTTCATTTCTTTCAGTGGTTAGATCAGCGATCTCCTTTGTCTTGTTCATAAGACTCCTGATCAAAAGAGAAACTTGTTCTTCAGTTGGAAGATTTGTTTCGTCATCCTCTGATTCATCACCAACAACCTGATTAACATCCTCCTGAGCTGTCACACCAACACTCTCATCGTCTTCCTCAATGATACCCAAAAATGCCACAAAATTGTTTAGCACTTCTCCTTTTCCTTCATCTTCATCAGTATCACTCTCACTCCAAGTCACATACGATTTCTCTTTGGAGTCTCTTCATAGGCATTCAGTCTTGGTGTGACCATAGCCCTTACACTCATGACATTTCAGTGTATTTTTCTTCTTCATATTCGGACATTCAGCCTTGAAGTGTCCATAGCCTTCACACTCAATACATTGTTTCTCAGACTTATCAGTCCTCTTGAATTCTTTCTGCTGCCCTGATCTGTTGTTGACTGCAGACCCACGTTGCTGACCTCGCTCCATTTTCTTGAAGTACTTTCTCACAAGCATACCAACTTTATCATCATCTGCAGATTCCTGAGTGTCAACAGTATTCAGTGCGAAAGTTTTTCCACTCGCCTGCTCCTTTTTCTTAACTTGTAGCTCATATGCCTGCATCATCCCAACTACTTGATCGAATTTCAACTCATCAGAATTCAACGAGACATCAATTGCAGACCTATGTGGCTGAAACTCTCTGGTAGACTTCTGAGAAATTTTTTAACCAACTTCTTATCTTTATAGCGTTTTCCCAACACTATAGCCTCTTGAGAGATGTTACTCAGCTTGCTGCTGAATTCCTCAATAGTCTCACTATCTCCCATATCAAGTTTTCGAAGTCAGATGCTAAGATGTCAAGTCTGGTTCTCTTCACATTGCTGGTTCCTTCGAAGGTGACCTGAAGGATATCCCATGCCTCTTTTGCAGATTCACATCCCTGAACTCTGGTGAACTGATTCACAGGCAGCGATTTGAAGATTAAGGACAGAGCTGTTGCGTTGTGTTTTGCTGCAAGCTTCTCCTCTGTAGTCCAATCCTTCTTGGGTTTCGAAACAGCATCTACAGCCTCGTTTGTTTTTACAGGGGCTGTCCATCCATCTTCAGCAGCTATCCAGGCATCAAGATCAGCACTCTGAATGTCCTGTCTCAGCTGCACCTTCCAGAACCCGTAATGTTCTGGATCCAACTTAAACGGCTTAGTTATAGCAACGTAGTGCTGTGATTTCTCCATACCCTCTGTTGCAGGATCTCACCTGTTGAAAAGATAACAGATCTTTTATCAGGCGTCCGCTCTGATACCAAATAAAAACGTATAGAGAGACACACAGACAGTTACGCTTGGAACGCGCCAAGCAAACGTTTTTTCCTTCGATCTTTATTAACAAAATTTATCTTTTCCTAGGATACAATTTTGTCTCGGCTCTTACTCAATCTATTCCTCCCAATAGAATTGAACCCGACTAAAGAACGAGCACTAAACCTATCTCTCCTACACCTCGTGTAGTCCCAAGAGAAAACAAACACTCACCTTCTCAGCTTTTTGTTTTTCTAGCTTCGAAGTTTACAATCACGTACAAAGAGTCTAAAGTGTTCAAAGTGGCTCGTGGCCAACCGTAGACTATTTATACTAACTACCCGAAACCCTAACCCTAGGATCTCACCGAAACGGAATATACTTGCTTGTCAAGCTTATCCTTTCCTTATTTGATGTAAAGAATATTCACCATATCTTCATACGTAATTCGTCTCTATCTTTGCTTCCAAGCAAGAAATCTTCCTTAGCACGTCACTTCATCCACTTAAGCTTTGCCACGTCATCTCACGACTCCATGTCAGCAACTTCAAGTGTCTGATGTGATCCCAGGCGTCTGATGTGGTCTCAGGCGTCTGAACAGATGCAGCTTCCTGATCTCTACAGCAAGCTGTTCTGGAACTGCATCTTCAGTTTGTTCCGACTGGTACTCTGTTTCTAAACAAACAGTTCCTCGGAAAAGCTTATCTCCATACCTAATCCTATTTCCAGACGACACTACTGATTGCTTGCTGTACAATCCACACGAGAAAGACATAATTTACATTAGAGCGGCTCCGAGTCGATTGCTTGCAAGCTGCGGCAAGTGGTTGCTGATGATAGATTCTCAATCAAGATTGTATGTTATAGATGTGTTTAGTGGGAATAAGATTGATCTTCCTCCATTAGAGTCACTCAAATCAAACGACTCTTTTCTAAAACGTATGGAAGATAAAGATAAGGAGTTCGAATGGGAGTTTAGTGAAGGTTACGTTTACTTATTACACACGGATGAAATTAGGGCACGTTTGTGGATAGACGAGAAAGCAGAAGAGATAGCTTTAGTTTGGTTCTTTGACTCCCCTGCTTGTTTTTTAGGGTTTTACAAGAAAGGGAATGCTCATTATGATCTCATACCGATTACTTATGATATCGCAAGGATTTTAACTGGCATGCTTTGTCTGATTCTTCGTGGTTACTGTCTATACATCTTAACGATGCGTCGTTTTGTTCGAGTTATAGATTTTTCTATGAAGCAAGGTTTCGAAGAAGTCACAGGGATTGACCCTGACCCATATTCCCCAATCTTTCCTCCTCTTAGATATCATTGTCACTTTAGCATCGCTGTTACTACATTGGGAGAGGTTTTGTTTGTGACAAGCACGAAGAATAACGAAATGGCCTTTCGTATTTACAAGATGGATCCTAATGCTGAACCAGATGATCACATGCCTGATCTTCTTGATGTAGATTCTCTTGGTGATGAGGCTTTGCTTCTTGACTTAGGTATCACTGTGCCTGCTAACTATACTCTTGGTATTAAACCAAACTCGATCTATTTTACTCATCATAACCTTATCCATTCCAAGAAGGTCTGGAACAAAGTCGACCATGTCCTGCCCCCTTATGACGTTGACATTTGTGTGTTTAATCTTTCAACCAAAACTCTTGAGCCTTTCCCTGCTCCTTCCAACATGACTCTCAAGGATGCTCGATTGATTTTCTCATGATGGACTTGACAGAAGTACTATAGTGTCTTTCTTATCTCGTCTTGTCTAGTTACTCTTAATGATATGCGTCCTTTTGAATAAGTATGTGAGAAAACAAAACAAATGAAAAAAATTCTTCTAATGTTTCTGGCTCAATTTAGTTTGTTTTAATGATGTTAGATGGTGAGTTTTTGCGTATATGAAGTTTTAAAGTTATGCAATATGAGGTTAGTCAAATTCCCCAAAAAAACATGAATTATTTAATATTTGCCAGAAAAATACATGAACTTTTTTCGTTGTCAGAAAAATACGTAAACTAATTTATAGATGATAAAAAATACGTGAACTATTTCGATTCTCTAGTTTCCCACATATAATGATCACGATTTTCAACGAAACTAACACAATCATAAACATCGTTTGCCTATTTTTCAATTTTCCTAAATTTCTAATCATAACAAAAACTTAACTATAAGAAAACAAAGATTGAAGATAAAGCTAAAATATAAAGAAAGAGAGATATTGTTATGATTATGACTACGATAAGAACGAAACTTCTTCACGAGATTGTAATAGTAACAATGTTTAATGTTGTCTTAGTTTTGTTGAAAATCGTGACCATTATTTGTGGGAAACTGGAAAATCGAAATATTTCACGTATTTTTTATCATCTATAAATTAGTTTGCGTATTTTTCTGGCAACGAAAAATGTTCATGTATTTTTCTGGCAAATATTAAATAGGTCACGTTTTTTTTGGGAATTTTCCCAAACTTTTTGTATTCCACCGTTAAAAAAAACTTCCTTACTTTTCCTATACTCTGTAAACGTAAGTACCTATAGAAGAATCAAAACACAAAAACAAAATCAAAACAGAGTATATATGAGAAAGACGATTCGAGAGTCTATAAGAGAAAAAACATTAAAAACCCAGAAATTGTTAGAATCAAATAATCCAAAGAGAAGCTTTGATTTCGAAATTACTTGGAAAAATTTCTTCTTTTTAATGATGATTTGATTTGTTACAGTGAAGAACAAAAACAGAGACTTTTACTTGATACTTGATCCTTAAGGAACAATTTGGTTGTCATATATTATTGCAACGAGGAGATTAAGTAAGTGTATCTCTCTAGGGAATGAACTGTGTAGCTCTCTATATGGCTTTCCTCTATCCAGAAGTTGTATTAATCCGTAATGGATCTGTTCTGAAGCTTAATAGTTAATAGTAAGCCAATCTTTGTGTAATTTGACTAACCTCATATTTTATTGTATTTTTAGCGGGAAAATTCCCCAAAAAAACGTGACCTATTTAATATTTGCCAGAAAAATATATGAACATTTTTCGTTGCCAGAAAAATACGCAAACTAATTTATAGATGATAAAAAATACGTGAAATATTTCGATTTTCCAGTTTCCCACAAATAATGGTCACGATTTTCAACAAAACTAATACAACATTAAACATTGTTACTATTACAATCTCGTGAAGAAGTTTCGTTCTTATCGTAGTCATAATCATAACAATATCTCTCTTTCTTTATATTTTAGCTTTATCTTCAATCTTTGTTTTCTTATAGTTAAGTTTTTGTTATGATTAGAAATTTAGGAAAATTGAAAAATAGGCAAACGATGTTTATGATTGTGTTAGTTTCGTTGAAAATCGTGATCATTATATGTGGGAAACTGGAGAATCGAAATAGTTCACGTATTTTTTATCATCTATAAATTAGTTTACGTATTTTTCTGACAACGAAAAAAGTTCATGTATTTTTCTGGCAAATATTAAATAATTCATGTTTTTTTGGGGAAAAGTTTGAGAAACTTTGGAATTTTCCAAGTAAGTTTATACATTGAAATCCGTATTTTGCTATTTTTTTTTTGTTAAAGATTTAAAATTTTACATGATCTTCTCTAGTCGCTGTTTAAACAGTTTTTTTAGCATATTTAGGGTTTTCTTTTTCCCCAAGTAAGTTTAATTGGATTGTGAAGAAGCAACTAATTAGGGTTTTGGTCTGTAAACATAATGTTAGATTATTTGCGTGATTTAAAACGGTGTCGTAATTAGAACTAGGATACTTCCCGAGACGGATGCAGGAAGTAAGAACCTTAGATATGTCGATATCTGTACACAAGCGGCGACAATGACTATGCCTTATATAGTCAGTTATTATAGAACATCGATTTGGCTTTTGCTGGATTGAGGATTGAGTTGTCTAGAGAACTTACTAAGATTTGGTGGTGGTTCCCATTACTAACATTAGATGGGAATGAGGATTGGGAAGTTGTTACGTAATGCTATTTGTGGTTATGTAGAGAACAGTCTGAATATTTAGAAAGACAGGACTTTTTTTTTTCTTTGGTGTCATTGGACGAAAGGACAAAGGTATTTTGATCACTTCGAATGGACAACCGATGAGGAGCGTCCGGTAAGCTTGGCCGTTCAGGTACCCAATCAGGTTCCGATCGGGTATTTTGGATTTTTCGGATATTTTAGTAAAAGGGTCCTAGTCTAGGTTTGGATTGGGTTTGGTTCGAGTTACACCCGTTAACCAAAATACACTTTGGATTGGGGTGTGTTTGGTTTTAACCATTGAGTTTTGTTTTTTTAAAAGATCATCTTGATTTTGGATTTTTGTTCCAATCGGGTATTTTGGATTTTTCGGGCATTTTAGTAAATGGTCCTAGACCCCTTCGAGTTTGGCTTCAGATCAGATTTGGTTCGAGTTACACCCCTTGACCGAAATACACCTTGGATTGGGGTGTGATTTTAATTTTTTAATCCGAAATTACCCAAAAAAATCCAAAATCTATATGATCTGTAGTTCTTTATATAGTTTGGCTTCGATTCATCTTTGTAAAGGACATACGAGTCGATTCTGTGACCATCATGTTACCAAAATGCTTCAAAGTGTGCTACTTCTTGAAGATATTGTCCGTCCAGAGTTTGGAATGCTTTCCGACTAATGTCAGGGGTTGTCAACTTGTTATGTCGCCTATATTTTTGACTACCAGGTAAGGCAACTGGGTCTTGACCTAATTAACAAACTCTCCATACAACTATAGTTTTTGTTTCCCGGGTAGATCGAACCTGATTTAGTTCTTTCCAACATTTCTCCAATTCTTCCTTACCACTAGATCACAGCTATGCAGGCAATCTTTGATTACTTCTCTTGAGATTTCTATATTTTAATTGATTCACACATCAACACATCTATTTTTGTTGTATACAATTAAGAGTAATGCTACGTTTTCCGAAAAGAAATTTGAGCCACAAGTTGATGCATTTTACATTGTAACTAGGTTCGGACCCGCGCTACAGCGCGGAGGAAATAATTATAAATATATAACTTTTAAGGGATTAGAATATGTTATATTTTTCGTCCAAAAAAAAAAAGAATATATTATATTTTAGTTTTATTGCAATGCAGTCGATTACGGTGAATAATATATTTGTGTAATAAATTTAAATAAAATAATAAACGAAAAAGTTAGTAAATAATAATACATTGAGGTTTGATACAATTAAAAAAACAGTGAAAATTTAACAGCACAATAGAATATTTATCGACAAATTATTCAATTTGACCATTCTTGTAGTAGAAGTAGGAATATATGTAAAAATTACATACTTACAATATATTTTTTTGAAGGACCAACCCGTAACAGAATTCATTTTTTAAAAAACATTATTCATAACTCGCTTTACCATTATAATTGTGATTTTTACAAACTATCCGCGAACTATCGAAAATTTACATAGTTTGATATATAATATATTTTATCAATAAATTAAAATTATGTCTCCAAATTACATCTATGGCTCCAAAAAAATAATTTTAGTATTTTAAATTCTATTTTTAATATATTTTAACCTTTTAATTATAATGTTTTGAAACTTTTGAAACTTTTAAATAGACTCATGTAACAATGGTTTTAATATTGGTCATATTTATACTGATTTTAAATCATTGTCCAAAATATTTAACCGAGTGTAGTTGAGTATTATATGTCCGTTTTGCAAAATTCAAATTGCAACATATGCAAAAAAGGTTAAATTTTTATTAATCATTTTTATTATATACTATAATATCATAAATTAAAAATAATATCAAATAAAAGTTAAAGAAGAATAATAATTGATTAGTTAGAGATTTATTAGGAAATCATAAAATTAGTTATGGAAATAATATAATTTTAAAATTATATATGGAAAGTATCCGATGTATGTATCCGAATCCAATTTAATATCCAATTTTGAAGTATCCAATTGCTAAAATCGGGTTAATTTTTTAATTTTGACCCGACCCATATTCTATTTTGTACTTCTCTTTTACTAATATAGGGATAGGGATAGGGATAAAGAGAAATCAAATATGAAATTGGAAAAATAACAATCTTCTAATAGGTTAGCAAAAATCGTTAAAGAGCTTTACCGTATTTTTTTTTGTCGTAGATGATAATAGCATATACATTATGCGAATGTAATAAATGTGTTACACTATTTCTGTATTTTTTATTCTTTTTTGACCAATTTAATACTTTAAATTCTGCTACTTTTTCTTTCAAAGATTCTGCCTGAGCTGATTATATATAACCAATTTTGCATTTTCCAATAAAAATGCACCTCTTCTTGATGGTACTTGGCGAGACACTAACGCAAAGAAAGCAACATTCACATACGGCAATGCGTTTCCAATAGAGCGACGTGTAGCTCTATAACTTTCAAAGTGCAATTCTGTGTTATCACCACAAGTATCTCAACTTATAAGAATACAAGAAATATGAGTTTAGTGATGTATTATTGCGTACATGGAGTTTTTAAGTTATGTTTGGTGCCAACAATACAAGAAATTTGAGTTAAGTCACACAAAGCTTCAGAGTAGATCCATTTAGAGACACAGTTCCTTCCCTAGAGAGAAACAAACTACCTTGAACACTTTACTTAATCTATTCTCCTCTTTGTAATAATATACCTGACAGCCAAATTATTCCTAGACAAACCTTGAAGAATGTAATGTTGTGGACTGAATACATAGGTTCTCAGTCAGAAGCAGCATTGTCTGGAAGAATCAAGTAACAATGGCCTCAAGTCATCTGAATCCAACCCCTCTTCGAATCTTCTGTGAATATCTTGGAGAAACTTCAAAACATTCGCTAATGGCCCGGTGTCTGGACTCTCGTCTATCCTCTTTTCTGCGTAAGACTTAGACTTTGTATTATCATCACCGTCTCTAAAATATTCATACTTAGTGATCTGCAACAAGCTGCTCTTGTCATGAGGCCAAACATCAACAGTATCATCCAAAATTACAACTCTTTGCTTATCAGCCACAACAAGATCAAGTGTCTTGTTATTAGGACTTTCTTTACTGGTAATGACTCGATCTCCAAAGTATACATTATCCGGATCAATCAACTTCAACACGGTCTTCGCGTAAGTAGATAACCCCATAGTGTAAACATGCATTGTGTAATGCTTGTTGGCTTCTAATAAAAACTCATGAAGAAAAGGTCGAAGTTTAGTGATGTATTCGTTAGAATGGCCTTTGTTAAATCTCCATAGATCTAGCCTTGACTCAGCAGCTGGTTCGAGTAGATACTTCTCCTTTTTAGAAAGCTGTGATACAAGAGTCGAGTGGATAAGCGTGTGGTCCAAATCAAGAACTAGGTGAAGGTTCTTCTCCTTCTCCTTCTTCTTCCCCTTCTTCTTCTCATCTAGACTCAAATTTTGGAATTTGTTGACAGATTCATCTAAGCAAGAGGATGATGTCTTTTGCTTCCTAGGCATCTAGATCATTACAAGTATAACAGTATTAGTATTGTAGCATGCAAATACATAAAACTTTGGAACAATAGTTATTGAAACTTTCAATATACAGCTAAGTAACAAGAAGATGTATGCTAGACAAAACTGGAGGATGAAACTAAAGCAAAACAATAGCTTATTAAACCAAGAAAACTTAAAACGGCCGAAACCCTAAAGTGCCATTAACGAGCAAACATGGCTCCAAACTAAAAGCTAGAGAACAGCTAGATAAGGAGAGGCTTTAACACAACCTGACTCGAGTTTTTAAAGGTGCTCAGATTCGATTCAAAACCTAGAGCCGAGATAACAAGGTTCAACACATCCAAAGAGATCCAAGAATAGAGACGAGATTAAAAACTAGGGTTAGGGTTTCCAGAAACTGTTACCTTCGAGAGAGAGGAATTGAATTGAAGCTTTACGTTGTGAAATAGAGAATCTCGGGGACGAGACGGCACAGGTGGTGACGAGGGAGGAATTGTCGAGCTTGATGAGAACCGGAGAAGATGAAAATTGGAACTTTCGATGATATAATTTTTATGGAATAATATAAAAGAGATGCGTCTATATACATTTTTTTTTTGAGAACTTTGAAGGCATATTGGGCTTTTTATAAACGTATCCTCCAAAATTATTTTGAAACATGAATTGAAAACCCAAAAAAAATACAAGAAAATGTCTTATTTTTCATCAAAAGACTGTTAAATTGGAATTTCATCACAAAATCTGCAATATCAAAATATCAAAATATGAGTGGGGGAGAATTGCGAGACCCCAGTTTGTGTAGAGGTTTAAATGAATTGATTTGACCACCTATGTTACCAAAGTGCACTTATATTTTTGGTCAAAGATCCTAAGAGAACTCCACAGTTAAACGTGCTTATGCTGGAGTAGTCAAAAGATGGGTGACCTTCCGAGAAGTAATCGTCAGAACTATGGAGTAAGGCCGAAACACAAGGAAAGATCATGTGGTGATTTGTATGGTCGGAAAACAAGTATTTATGTCTCGTTGACGTAGCAAACCGGCCGTCGGATATTGATTGGCTCAGAGGCCTAGTGAGTGGACGTGAGGCCCATTAAGAGAGGTGGGGCCATGGGCTGGTGGTGAACATGGGGCCCACTGGAGAGATGGCGGTCGGGGCGTTAGAAACGAAATACTTGATCAGAAAAGCGCTACATTATAGAGTTTTTCAAATTAACAACAAAAAGTTTTAAAAAAGTTTTCCAGAGATGTTTACATGAATTGATTTGGCCACCTATGTCACCAAAGTGCAATTATCTTTTCGGTCAAAGGGCCTGAGAGAATTTCAAAATTAAGCGTGCTTATCTTGGAGTAGTCAATTGATATATAACCTTCCGGGAAGTGATTGTCAGAACTGTGTGAGTGAGTCCAAAACACAGGGAAAGATCATGTGTGATTTGTAGGGTCGGTAAACAAGAATTTAATCCTCCTTGACGTAAAAAAAACCAACAGTCAGATATTGATGGGCTTTGGGCCTAGTGGGAGGATGTGACGCCCATTAAGAGAGGTGGGCCCATGAGCTGGTGGTGAACATGGAGGCCACTAGAGAGATGGCGGTTGGGGCGTTACAAGTGGTATCACAGCCGAACCCATACAAGTGTGGAGTCAAGTGGGCTCACACTATCAGAGGGTAACGGTCATTGTGCGCAACGTAGGACGTTGCGATCTGTTAATGGGGGAGAATTATGAGACCCCAGTTTGCTGACTTGTTTAAATGAATTGATTTGGCCACCTATGTTACAAAAGTGCACCTATATTTTTGGTCAAAGATCCTGAGAGAACTCGACAGTTTAGCATGCTTATGCTGGAGTAGTCAAAAGATGTGTGACCTTCTAGCAAGTGATTGTCGGAACTGTGTGAATGAGGCCAAAACACAGGGAAATATCATGTGGTGATTTAGAGGGTCGGTAAACAAGTATTTAAGCCTCCCTGACGTAGCAAACCGATCGTCGGATATTGATTGTCTCAAAGGTCTAGTGAGAGGACATGAAGCTCATTAAGAGAGGTGGAGTCATGGACTGGTGGTGAACATGAGGCCCATTGGAGAGATAGTTGTCGGGGCGTTACATGAGCCTTCTTAGAAACGAAATACTTGATCAGAAAAGTGCTACATTATAGAGTTCTTCATATTAAAAAAAAAAAAATTTAAATGTTTTCCACTGTCGGGATTCGAACCCGGAAGTGAGAGCAATGTTTTTTTAAACATAGCATTTTAACCAATGTGCTATAGCAAATCTTTTGTGATTATATGAATTCATAAACTATTATATATAAATATTTGAATATTTAAAGGGTATACAATATTAGTCTATTAGCAAAGCATTCACTTTGTTGTTACGAGCCTTCTTAGAAACGAAAGACTTGATCAAAAAAGTTCTACATTCTAGAGTTTCTAGAATTAACAAAAAAAAATTGAAAAATGTTTTCCGCTGCTAGGCTTTGTACCCGAAAATTGATGAGGTGCAAAGAAGCGAAGATGTGGAACCGGTTCGCCGCTCGGTTTGACCAAGGATACCAAACCGCAAGTATCTCGATTGAAGTCAACATTTGGAGACTTAAGTTTATTTCTTTGCTTTTTTTTGTTTTTTTTGTTGCAAATAAGTTGAAGTGGTGTTCCACTTTAAAACGAGCCATTCAACCACTTTCGCTATTCCCTAAGTCGTAGGTATCGTTATTCTTCTACTACAATATGCAGTTGTATTTGCTTCAATTTAAATCAATGAAAAAGAAAAAAGAGGTAGTTCATCTACCCAAAACAAAATCGGTCTTGTTGTTCATTGAGCAATTCTCTAGCTTTGAAGAGGGACCTATCAGAAATCAGAGCAATGCTTGTTTAAACATAGCTCTCAGTTTTAACCAATGTGCTACTGCGGATCTTTTGTTATTATATGAATTAATAAACTATTTATTTAAATTTATTTGAATATTTTAAGGGTATACAATATTAGTCTATTAGCAAAGCATTCACTTTGTTGTTACGAGCTATGAGACCCCAGTTGCGGAGATGTTTAAATGAATCGATTTGGCCACCTATGTCACCAAAGTGCACTTATATTTTTTGTCAAAGGACCTGACATAACTTCACAGTCAAGCGTGCTTATGCTGGAGTAGTCAAAATATATGTAACCTTCCTGAAAGTGATTGTCGGAACTGTATGAGTAAGGCCAAAACATAGGGAAAGATCATATGGTGATTTTTAGGGTCGGTAAACAAGTATTTAAGCCTCTTTGACGTAAAATAACCAACCGTCAGATATTGATGGGCTCATGGGCCTAATGATAGGATGTGAGGCCCATTCAGAGAGGTGGGCCCATGAGCTGGTGGTGAACATGGGGGCCACTAGAGAGATGGCGGTCGGGGCGTTACAAGTAGTATCAAACCCGAACCCAGACAAGTGTGGAGTCAAGTGGGGTCAAATTTTTCAAGGGGTGACGTTCGTTGTGCGCAACGAGGACGTTGTAATCTGTTAATGGGGGAGAATTGTGAGACCCCATTTTGCGAAGATGTTTAAATGAATTGATTTGGTCACATATGTTACCAAAGTGAACTAATCTTTTCGGTTAAAGGTCCTGAGAGAACTTCACAGTTAAGCGTGCTTATGCTGAAGTAGTCAAAGGATATGTATCTTTCTTGGAAGTGATTGTCAAACTGTGTGAGTAAGGCCAAAACATAGGGAAAGATCATGTGGTGATTTATTGGGTCGGTAAACAAGTATTTAAGCCTGTTTAACGTAAAAAAACCAACCGTCAGATATTGATGGGCTTTGGGCCTAGTGAGAAGAAGTGACGCCCATTAAGAGAGGTGGGCCTATGAGCTGGTGGTGAACATGGGGACCACTGGAGAGATGGCAGTCGGGGCGTTACAAGTGGTATCAGAGCCGAACCCATACAAGTGTGGAGTCACGTGGGCTCACACTGTCAGGGGTGACGGTCGTTGTGCGCATCGAGGACGTTGTGATCTGTTAATGGGGGAGAATTAAGAGACCCCAGTTTGCTGAGAGGTTTAAATGAATTGATTTGGCCACATATGTTACCAAAGTGCACTTATATTTTTCGTCAAAGATCTTAAGAGAACTCAACAGTTTAGCGTGCTTATGCTGGAGTAATCAAAGGATGTGTGACCTTCTAGGAAGTGTTTGTCGGAACTGTGTGAATGAGGCCAAAACACAGGGAAAGATCATGTGGTGATTTGTAGGATCGGTAAACAAGTATTTAAACCTCCCGGACGTAGCAAACCGACCGTCGGATATTGATTGTCTCAGGGGCCTAGTGACAGGACGTGAAGGCCATTAAGAGAGGTGGGGCAATGGGCTGGTGGTAAACATGGGGCCCATTAGAGAGATAGCTGTCGGGGCGTACATGTGCCTTCTTAGAAACGAAATACTTGATCAGAAAAGTCGTACATTACAGAGGTTTTCAAATTAACAAAAAAAAAAAAAAATGTTTTCCGCTGCCGGGCTTTAAACCCGGAAATTAGAGTAATGTTTTTTAAACATAGCATTTTAACCAATGTGCTACAGCGGATCTTTTGTGATTATATTAATTCATAAACTATTTATATATAAATATTTGAATATTTGAAGGGTATAAAATATTAGTCTATTAGCAAAGTATTCACTTTGTTGTTACGAGCCTTCTTAGAAACGAAGACTTGATCAGAAAAGTTCTACATTCTAGAGTTTCTAGAATTATGAAAAAAAATTTTAAAAATGTTTTCCGCTGCTAGGCTTTGTACCCGAAAATTGATGAGGTGCAAAGAAGCGAAGATGTGGAACCGGTTCGCCGCTCGGTTTGACCAAGGATACCAAACCGCAAGTATCTCGATTGAAGTCAACATTTGGAGACTTTAATTTATTTCTTTTTTTTGTTTGTTGTTGTTTGCAAATAAGTTGAAGTGGTGTTCCACTTTAAAACGAGCCATTCAACCAATTTTGCTATTCCCTAAGTCGTAGGTATCGTTATTCTTCCACTACAATATGCAGTTGTATTTGCTTCTATTTAAATCAATGAAAAAGAAAAAAGGAGGTAGTTCATCTACCCAAAACAATATCGATCTTGTTGTTCATTGAGCAATTCTCTAGCTTTGAAGAGGGACCTATCAGAAATCAGAGCAACGCTTTTTTAAACATAGCTCTCAATTTTATACAATGTGCTACTGCGGATCTTTTGGTATTATATGAATTCATAAACTATTTATTTAAAATTATTTGAATGTTTTAAGGGTATACAATATTAGTCTATTAGCAAAGCATTCACTTTGTTGTTACGAGCTATGAGACCCCAGTTGCGGAGATGTTGAAATGAATTGATTTTGCCACCTAGGTCACCAAAGTGCACTTATATTTTTGGTCAAAGGACCTGAGAGAACTTCACAGTCAAGCGTGCTTATGCTGGAGTAGTCGAAAGATATGTAACCTTCCTGGAAGTGATTGTCGGAACTGT